ATTTCAAAGTTTAATTTTCTAGAAATGGGACTTGTAATTTTGAATTAAATTGATGGAACTTTGGACTTCTTAACTTTTTCGAATCTATATTTAATCGTGCTTGATCACATTATATAGTCGATGTACCAAATATGTTCGAAGGGTTAATTAATGCTAAGCGCATTTTCACATTCTTGATTAGATATGGTTGGGCACAATTAATGGGTTAAAGAATGTTATAAAATTGGAAAAATTGTATTTTCTTCAAAACTCTCTTTTGGAGTATTCTTTTGCAAATTGCTACATCAAGTAGTTTCATAAGATATTAAATTTTATAATCATAACTTTAGACTAGATATCGTGATTGCATTTGTTCAAGCGATTGTGTTACATTCATAATAATTTACATACATATGATGTAGTGAAATATGATTGGGTTAGAATTTCTTCAACTGAAAAAAAATAAACATTATCCACTCTTTTTTTTTTTTTTTGACATCTCATCTATATATAAACAATTATGTAACTCCATTATGTACAAGTATCATTATTCTTGTCCATCGTCGAAAATACGCGCACAAGTAACCAACAAACTAAATATTCAAACGTCCCTGTTCCATGCTTCACTGATACCTTGAATTAAACATTGGGTAATTATATTGTCACTACAATTTTTATTTGGTTCAACACATTATATACAAACTTATTGTACAAATATAACCCTAGTCTAATTGGGAAAAAAAAAAAACACATTCATTTTCTTTTCCATTATTACCCTCGATTCTCTCACTCACCCTCACCCTCACCCTCACCCTCACCCTCACCGCCACACCCACCAAAACTCCTCTTCACCATGGTACTATGAACCTTGTGCATTGATAAGGTAGAAACCCCAAAAGGCCGCTTTGGCTTTCTGTCATAGAGACATGAGTGTGCCCCTGCTCCTCGCTTTTTCCCCAAATGCTTCTTGTCATTGTTTTTCCAGGTGACTTTCATTCTAAGTCAAAGCCTCCATTGCAAGCGAATTTGATTGAACCATGGTTGGCTAACAAGGGATATTGGGACGAACTCCATGGTCTCGAGACGAGACTCAATCCAATTCAAAAGGCTCCTAACTCGATCTAGATTAGAGAACAAGCGCTTTTTGAACTCTTTTCTTTTCTCCTCTAGAAAACTCATTCAGATTGTACATCATATGAATAATGTTTCTTGTACAATGTTGGGTAACAACTTCTCATAAGGGAGGTGATGCCCACTATTATTTTAATTGCGGGGCCCACCTCCCTTGTGAGATGTTGTAACCCATATGTTTTACAAGAAGCATTGTTTTACATCATATACTCGCCATGGACAAAAAATAGGCTTAAACCTGTACGCTGACTGTTCATCACATGTGATGAACAACCAGCGTATAGTATTGGAATTTCTCACAATGATGTTCCTAAATTATCGATGTTCATACGGCTCCTTCACAATACAAACGGCACTCCAAATAATATAAATTATGTTCAGAATTCAAGCCTTGAGAATACCAGCAAAATCAACAATAGTTGTGGTGGAACAATTAAAAAATATTGTATGTAAAAAAATATTTAAAAGTATGGTTTATTTATGTAATATTACCTCCGATCATATTAGTAAATAGAAAAAAATACTTGAAAATGTGGTCAATCAAATAAAAATTGTGGCGGCACAGGGACGGATCTAGGCCCAGATTACAAACTGAGCTAATACGTAAAAAAAATATAATTATACAAGAAATTTTTTTTTCTACTGAAAAAAATTCAATAGCCTGTGGCTGGCTGTCAACCCCTTGGGTGGTCCCACCCTCGATCCGTCCCTGGACGACAATACAGTATGGTCCCCCAATCCGTCCTTGGGCGGCAATATAATTATCCTCAAACATTATATAGCTAGCAAGAAGTTTATCCATTATAGAATCCTTGTTCAAATCTTATCATAGAAAATTGAAATCAATTGATAAGATATGGCCACTTATTCAAATGCTTGATCTTTAGACTTGAAAATAGAGGTGAACAAGCTTGGTTGCTTGATTAGTCACAATCATGTTACCATTTATTACTTTATTAACCATTATACTTTAATATTAAATTCCAATACGAACCTCAATAATTGTGTAGATCAAACCCTTACTTTGTCTTTTTCACAGGTGGTAAGTTTTGAGTAAGACAATTATTGATGTTTAGGTTGGTGGGTTGAATATTAAATGATTTTATCCTTGATTCTTATGTTGTTGCACTTATTTTTAAAATAATATTATTGATAGTCGTTCACTGCGATAATTATTGTTGCCATGTCTGTGCCATAATAGGTTGTTGTCATGTGTATGTCACGTAGAGCGACAGTGGTAGTGAACGACTATTAATAACATTATTCTTATTCTTATCTGGAGGAATTTAAATAATTGCAAGTTGAATGGATTAAGAATATTATTATTTATTTTGACCTTTTAAGTACATTTATTTAAATGAATTTTTTAGCCAAACATGGTTTTATTGGATAGAACCCCACTCTACTTTGTCCCCACATGTCGCCACCATAATTACCACAGCCCACCGTTTCCGCAAGTTCACTTTTCCATATCATCATCTTATCCTCTTTGCCCTATATAAATTTCTATTTGTTCATCAAATTTCCTTCAGAGCTGGCCCTTTTTCAGAACCCAGAAAAACCCCGTAAACTCTTCAGAATTAAAACTGTAGGGAAAGATTTTACACGGTGTTGAATGGACTGTTGCCTTTCTTACAGCAAACCCAGATTCTCTTTTCCAGCCCTGCCGTCGATTCACAGTCGTCCAATCAATTTGGGAACTGACCGGAGGCAGTTGGTTGCGGTTGCTTGTAGATACAATAGTAGTAGCAGCAAGTGTGAGTTTGGCGGTTTGAACACGCCGCTTGAGCCGAAGACAGCGGCTGGGAGGTTCTTGAGTGGCGTATTGCTGAATGATCGGGAGTACTTTCACGTTGCTGTTAGGAATCAGTTGAAACAGCTGGTGGCTGACAGGGATGAAGCCGTGGCTCGTGCCGAGTTCAGCTTGGGCTCTGATGTAGCTTCCCTCCATAGGTTGGTGTTCAATTATTTTCTTTTATCTTTTCTTCTTTGCTTATGGTAATTATTTGCGTTAAGTTTTAGACGGTTTTCAGGGTGTTTTTGAACTAGGCTTTCACATTGATATGGAAAATACGGATTCCTTGGTTAAATTGAGTTGAACAGTAAATTAAATATGTACATCAATAATTAAAACAAATACTATATAAATAACTAAACATTGGTGTTTTGTTAACATAGCATGATATTTGATATATGTTAGACTTGAGTTTTAACATTGTTTTTTCTATTTAAAAAAGAAAAAGCCAACCAATAAACCCGGTGCAAGGTTAACCAGTTTCCGATTTGCCTAGTTATATACTGGTTTTATCTCGATAGTTTTGGTATATATCTGAACCGATATCGTGCCGGTTCTCAGTTTCTTTGCTTGAATCCACCTATTGCATCCGGTTTTTTTAACTTCGATTTCAATTTTGAGTGGCCTTGTTCAAATTTTCTGAATAGCTCTGTTGCTGTTAGAGTTGCGCCAAAAGAATGTCATTACTAAATTATGGTTAATGCTGACATGGTATTTATATTAATCCCAATTGAAGACTCCATTGTATACTGTTCATTTTCGTTGTAAATGTGATGTCAATTAGCAAAGAACATTAACATCTTGCCTACTTTCTTGTTAATTATATTCTCTTATACGTTAATGGATTCAAGCAGGGGCAGAGCCAGCCCATCAAAGTAGGGGGGTCCGAGAGTTGAAGGGGTGGGGGCGTTCGGGGGTTCGCCCTAATTTTTTTTTTTGAAACATTTTCTATTAAAATGAGGGAAGTTGGTACTTTGTGATGGAGAAAGGAAACAAAAGAACAAAAATTAATGTACATTATTAACAAAAAAATCAAGAAACTTATAAATTATCAGAAGCTACATACTCGAATTTGAGCTCAAGCTTATGTAGATCGGATCTTCCTCAGTAGCTTTGAA